AGCAGGCTCCTCACACAATTAGCCTAATAGTAGCATAAAAAACTATCATCATGTTTTTTCCAGATGTGCTGTATTAATGCAAAAGCTCAAACAACTGCAGTGCCAACAGTCAACTTCACTCCTGTTAAACCCAATCATTATTGACACGGGATAATGAAAAGCGACTGTATACGCCAATATAAATGTTGGCGGTATGAACAAGGATTTTTCAATTAATGAGTTTCTCTAGTGGGGTCCCTTTTTATACCTTATTTTTCGTGTCTCCATTATATTTTTTCTATTTTGTTTTATTGTATCTTACACACATACTTTTGATCTTTTCTATTTGTTTCATGTGCTGTGTTGTGGTTCTAATTCTGTGCAGTTTTGTTGTTTGTTTGTTTGCATTTCTTTTCATTGTGATTTGGGAGGCCTGTGGTGTTTTGTGGGGAGCTATGGCTATGACTCTGTGGCACTACCCTAAGTGTGCATTTCCTTGCACATTCATCAGGTGTGGTGTCACCTGTGTAAATTAGACATGCTTGTTGCCCTTTCATCAGTTTGACCCTTGAATCTGATTGGCCTACAACCATATGACCATATACCTAACCTACTTATGTGCATGTTTTTATTGTCTGACATGTATGAGTTTGTATATGATTGGTTGTTGTTAAATAATTTCTTTCTATACTTGTGCTACTTATAGGACTCGTTACATAATTTTAATAGACCCTGATGAGGGCTCCTTAATGGTCTGTGGTTTTTTAAAAGTGTTGCTGGACATTTTGTTTTCTCCTATCAACTAAAGCACACACATAGCAGTACATAGTGCAGCGTATAGTGAGAAAACATCCGTCACATAGATATACATTTACATGGTTATGATCTGTCCAGCCAAAGCATGTAAAAACCTGTTCAACACAACACACCCCCAGAACTACAGCATCACCAGAGCCCAGCCACAGCCAAGAAGAAGAGGACAAGAGAGAGCGGGAAAGCAGCCAAGAATAAATATCATTGGTGAGAGCTAAAAATAACCCTGTCAGGGTTACTAACTGTTAATAGCTACTGTCCTGACGTTGCTGTAGAGATCTGCTAAAATGAAAACAACATCATCACCACAGCAGAGTCTACACCTGTGCTAATGTTATTTATGAAGTACTTCAGCGTAGGCTGTAACCATATTGATGTCATCCTGTCTCACTGAGATTTGTAGTTTGTTTTTTTTTCCCAAAAAGTCATCTACCTCCATCCCCCAAACAAATAAATTCATCTCAGGCCAGAGAGACTGCTCAGGCTTTTTCACTGTCATGCCAGATGAGAATTTGAAGTTTGCAGCCTAACAAACCCATCTCAGCTGGCTGGTAATAAATTACACTGCCCAATGGATATTATGTGCAATATGAGCCTAAACTGTGTCACCGGCATTTCATTCTATTACACACATCCACCTTCAAATGCTTAGCAAACTAGCTGACAAAACAAGCAATATTTCAGTAAAAGTATAAAACTGGACATTACCGTGAGTAGTCTTATACTGGTATGGCACATTTCTATGCATTGCAGCACACTCCAAGCACTTTCACACTATTTGCCCATTCACCTATTCACAGTCCAAAGTGCACACACACCAGTGAAATCACCGGGAGAAACTTGGGGTTCGGCATCTTGCTCAAAGACACTTCGACGTGTGGACTGGAGAAGCTGGGAGTTGAACCGCCAACCTTCCAGTTAGTTCCTCCTGAGCCACAGCCAAACCAGTATTATTGTTTGTTATTATTATTTTTATGAGTGCTCATCTTTGATGTCACATTAAATAAACAATGAATCCTGTACTTAATGTTCTTTCATTGTATTTTATAGTTCAGTAACAACTTCATGTACTACTGTCCATGAGGAGGAGGTGGTGAAAGCACAACTAGTATTTAAGACAGTTGGGTACAACTCACTTACACTAAGCAATGGGCAGGGGAAGACAAACTGTCAAGTTATGTATTGTTGCTTTAAAAATGTTTATTCCCTCAGGTTCTGGGTCAAACAGTCCAAAGCATCTTAAATCCACAGCTCTGACCAGATGGCTAACTGCACTCTGAGCTTTTCTTCTTGGAACAAAAACATTTTTCAGTCCTTAGTTTTGTGATTCGTGCAGTTTTAGCCACAAAAACAACTTTTATGATCCAATCATTATAAGCTTCTTCATTTTGGGCCCTTTCTACTGCTGACATGATCACATAGAGACATCCCTCTCTGCTGGTATGTTGGACATGAGCAGAACACAGTCAATTTTAGACAGTGTAGCCCAGTGAGCGTTATTTTGACCAGCAATGATTTTTTGTTTTGTTTATTTTTACCAGGCAAATCCCAGCAATCGCCAGCTAATGGAAACACTGATACTGTATATAGGTCTAGTCATGACCTTCCTGGTTCAAATTAATGAAAAGAAAAGATATTTTCACCAAACTGATAATTCATGCCCTAGTGAAAATGTCATGGAGTCATTAAACACAACAAGGTTTATCCTCTGGGAAGCATGAATGTAATCAGTTAATTAATTACAAACTCTGTTTGATTATACAGTAAGTTAGAGTAGAGTTCATGAAATGAAAAGGTTCATCTTATATTTTGAAAGTTCCAGTATATAGGTAAATATTTTGATCCAAAGGTGAAGCAAGATACATGAGTTTTGAGCAGAGTAAACCTGACACATACAGTAGTAATTAACGCTTATTTTTATTGTCTAATCTATACAAACACTAACTGTATACTGTAGAAATGACACCAGTGAAAGTTTCGCTCTCTGATCAGTCTGGAGGTGGAGTGCAGCATGAGTTCAGAAGGTTTACAGTGAGTTTTCAGAGGAACATGGTGCAGCCAGGAATTAAAAACATGCATGTTGCCTTTTTAATGAGGTACAACTGACCTTTCTCGGTTTATAAAGTGGAAAAGCAAAGCAGAATCAACCACCTCTGTCCTTATGTTCCAGGTTACAGGTCTTTAGGTTCTGTAGTGGGAAAGGGGATGTTCTCTAAACTTGAACTTTCCTGCGCCCACCCCTCCACCTCCCCACTACTTGTCACACCTGAACAGCAAAATCCTGCTTCACACATTCACGATATGATGAGAAAAACTCAGCAGTTTTATACAAGAGCTGGAAACCCAGTCCCCCTGAACATGCATCATCCCTCGCTGGCTATGTGAGTAAAAAGGATTTGTCCATTAAAAGGTTTTCAGCAGCCCATACAGAATACAGATAAACAAATACATTAATGTCAAGAAAAAGACCTTTACTGTTATTGTCATGTTCTGAGTTGGCAAAGCAGAATCTAACCTGTCTTTAAAATCCATGAACCTTTCTGCAAGCATATGAAGATATTATATAGTAAATATAAGTTTATTAATATTAAATGCTCTGTCTTGTTCTTCTGGACTGGCTGCCACATTTTGAGATGTATCCTATAAATTATTTTTGGAAGTTTATGAATATAAGAAAATGTAATATAGTTATCACTTAAGCCCTTTTAGGACATGTAGGCTACCTCAATCCTGAACCTACCTGGACATTACCCAGTGGAGCTGTATGTGAGAAGGCAGATGTCCAACTCAGTTGGCCCAGATATTAAATGTCTACAATTCCCGCAGCATGCTTTTTGCATCATGTTCTGCCTCCTGCATGCTCTACCCAGACGAAACTGGATCAAGCCTGGATTACTGCTGGAAATACACTGGGGCCCCTGGAGTTCTGGAGCTACAGGTGTAATGTTTGACAGTTGAATTGTGTTATTTTAACTGAAGCATTGTTTTGCTATGTATACCACTAAAGCACAATATGATCTGGGCCAATTAATGCAGGACCAGGTAACGTGCTAAGAGAAACTGGACATATTACACAGTGAAAGGGAGCCAGCTGGGGCCTTGTAGGAGATTAATCTAGCTATGAGTTTTCTATGAGTCCCCCATGTTGCTAGAAAAACCTCTAGTGGAGAAATACTAAATTGTGTATTTATTATTAGTATAAAAGTTTTCAAATAGCCTACTTAATATAAAAACTGGAATCAGCCTAAATACTCTGCAGGTTTTTCACTGTAGAAAGAAAAGGAAAAGAAACATAAAAACATGTTGACAGTGTCCTCATCCAGCATAATATCAACAGAAAAGTCATAGTGATTGCTGTGTCTTTCCACTGGAGCGAACCTCACCTTTTTTTACATGCACATTGTCAGAACAGAGAGATCCATCCAAGAAATATGTTGCTGGATGCAGAAGCCAAGCTGTCTCGCTCTTACTGTTTGCCTTTACACACACACACACACACACACACACACACTGACCTCGTGACAGGTCATATAAAAGAGTCCAAACGCAGAATGAGGATGTGACAATTCTCTAGGTGTAGCTGTGGATAACCTTGGTGCATGTGCGCGTGCCTTTGTGCACGCCGCCCTGCATCTGTCTCTGCTGACCCAGGTTTGAACCCACTGAGATATTATTTTTATAGCACACACAGGCACACATGGTGATTGAGAGAGAAGCAGGTTAAAGTCTTCTTCTGGATTAGTTGAATCCAGAAGCAGCCTGATAGAAGCGAGCCAGGCCTTCCCCTGACATGTTCATCATCATCTCATCATCCAGTCCCATATTATCTACTGATACAGAATAAAGATAAGGCAATGATCAGGCAGTTGGTTTCAGTAATAAGTAGTATTTAGGCTTAGCCACTTTTAAATAGACCAAATAAGAAAGATTTTATACAAAACGAAATGGGAAAATGCGTCTGCATGCAGGCACTCCATCAAATAATGGAAAAATAATATAAAATGAAATGGTAGGCTTAACTATGAATGGCACCAGTGAGACCCACAGAGAGAGGGATTAGGACATTGTTCAACCAGGAACTCTATTTTCTGAAGCAGCTATGAAAGAGTACTGCTTAAGAGTTCTTTGCTCTTGAATGCAAGGCCGCCCAGGAGGCATTACTACTGGTCCTACAAACGGGCTTAAGCCAAGGTAATGAGTGTGTAAACTAGCTGCCTTATTACCAACAAAGGCGTCTTGGGACGCGCTTCCATTGTCTCCGAGGGAATCTTCACCTATTCTCAGTGAAATCCGCCGCAGATTGCCTGCAACAGGAGGTAGGGATTAAAGATACGGCCCTAGGAACGAACAAATGGTGAGGCTGGTCAGCCAGGACAGGCCGGAGGCGGGGCCGAGCGACACCCACAATTAAAGATTGAACTTTGTGTGAACTAATGTATCTGCAGGAGGAGAAGCCTGCTCGCTGTCCTGGCAGCCTATAAAAGACGCTGGTTGTACACTGGCTCCTCAGTAGCTGACAGAGGTTTATTTGAACGCTGTTGATGCTTCAATAAAACACTGCTTGTCACAGAATCCGCTGCAACATGGCTCTGAGCACGCTCCTGGCCACGCTCCTGTGCACCATCGTGCTTCCTATCCTGCTGTTTCTGGTCGCGGTGAAACTGTGGGAAGTCTACATGATCCGAGGCAGAGACCCGCGCTGCCCCAGCCCGCTGCCCCCCGGGTCCATGGGCTTACCCTTCATTGGAGAGACGCTGCAGCTCATTCTCCAGGTAAATGCATGACAGAGCTGCTGCTTTTCAGCTTTCACACGAACCCTTCATGATGCCCAACATCCACATGCGGATAAAAATGCTCCAAACGCTACGTGGAATTTCGATTTTAACTGTTTAAATTGAATAGTAGGTTATACCGTATTAATATCGTTCCATCCACCTTTATTCAGTGTTTGGTAACATTGATACGCAAAGTGGAGATGTATAATTTTTGTAGCACATGTTCTAGGTTTTCCATTGTTGCTATGTGTAGGATCTAAAGGTGTCTTATTTATCATCTTGTATTGGTTTATACGTATGTCCATGTTTGCAGAGGAGAAAGTTTCTGCGGATGAAGCGACAGAAGTATGGTTACATCTACCGCACACACCTTTTCGGGAACCCCACGGTGCGCGTAACCGGAGCGGATAACATCAGGCACATTCTGCTGGGGGAGCACAGGCTCGTGTCCGCGCAGTGGCCCGCGTCTGTGCGTACCATTCTGGGCTCGGACACGCTGTCTAACGTACACGGAATCCAGCACAGGACCAGGAAAAAGGTAAATTAGGATTTGATTTGAAAAGGTACCGCTTTACTTAAAGGGATGTGAAATTACAGAATCACCTTGGATAGACGCTACTTTTGACATTTTATTTGCTAAGGGCAGTTTAAACATATCAGTATCTTTCCTAATGAAAGTACATCTATATTACCTTGATTTCTTATTTGTAAAATGACTTGCTTGATTTATGTTGGGGAGCATTACAACTAATAGCTGTTTTAAGATATGGAAGCCATAGTCTTAACTCTGTACAAAAGGTAACCAGTCATTTATAATCAGTAGATATTAGAAAGCTTTTATTTCTTGACCAAATGGTAAAATCTGCTGGTGCAGTTATTTGAATTTGTCTCCAATGGAACTTGAAACAAGTTGAAATGTTCTTTATACACTGTGGATTGTTTAATATCTTGCTCTAAGGGGGAAACAAAGTGATTTTTATAGAGCACTTTGGTCAAAAAGTAACTTGCCAGGCATTACTCTGAAACTTTTGAATGGATGAAAATACCGGGCAAGTGGACTTTTGCGTTCATAAACCCACCACCACCTCCCACTGAGCCCTCTGCTCTTCTCCAGGCCATCATGCGGGCCTTCTCTAGGGAGGCTCTGGAGCTCTACATCCCTGTCATTCAGGAGGAGGTGCAGGCTGCGGTGAAGGAGTGGCTGGCGAAGGACTCCTGTGTGCTGGTCTACCCTGAGATGAAGCGACTGATGTTCCGCATAGCCATGAGGATCCTACTGGGCTTTGAGCTGGAGCAGATTAAGACTGATGAACAGCAACTGGTGGAAGCTTTTGAGGAAATGATCAAGAATTTGTTTTCTCTGCCTATTGATGTACCCTTCAGTGGACTGTACAGGGTAAGAGACTAACATATAGTCATCATGTAGCTATGCTCCCATTTATTCAACATTAAAGATGTGGAGTTCCAGTGTAAATTCGAAGGACCATACATGTTGTATTATAGTTAACCATACTTAAAAGCATGCTGACATCAACAGTCAAACATGATATTCACTGTGGTGAATTACTTAACCAACACAGATTAGTCTAGAAATGCATGAATGTAAGCCAGTGGTTGTCTGTAATGAAAATGCTTTGTAGCAAATGGGCTAAAACCTTCAAAAACTCTATGGTCCTTTAAGTCATGAGAAGCATATCACATGAGGCAAGCAGGAAAAGGACATGTTAAAGTAATGTGCCTGTATATTCTGTAGCTAACAGCTCAATGCACAAGACATCTTAATAGTAATTGTAGGTAGCAAACATACTTGCCTTCTTCAGAGCACATTAGTGGTAAATTATTAGCTTTTGGAATCAAGTCTGTGCTGCAACAACATCAAACTGCTCCGGTCTCCTTGTAAATATTTGACTCATTGACTCTATCTATATGTACATATACAGTACAGTATCCATTTGGATCCAGTGTCTGTTTCATCTCCTAACTTTGTTTTTGCTATATCCTCCATTCATTGTTTCTTTGCTTATTTCCAACTCCCTTCAATCCTTTGTTCTGTTCATCCCTGCTCCTCCTCCTCCTATCATCCTTCCTGCTCTCCAGGGTCTGAAGGCTAGGAACTTCATCCACTCCAAGATAGAGGAGAGTATCAAGAAGAAGGTGCTGGAGTCGGACGGTGAGTCCAGCCACAGCGACGCTCTGCAGCAACTCATAGACAGCAGCAAGAAGAACGGAGAGCCCTTCAGCATGCAGGTAATGATGGACATTTACTTTGACTGATGTGAAAAACAAAACATCTCCAAAGTTTTCTATCCATGTTGTAAGCCATTGTTTTAGTTGGTGTTTGAAGTAATTCTCTCTGCTTTTCTGTTTCCAGGCCATTAAGGAGTCTGCTACAGAACTGTTGTTTGGGGGCCATGAAACCACGGCTAGCACAGCCACCTCTCTGGTCATGTTCCTGGGCTTGAACCCTGACATTGTGGATAAACTGAGGCAGGAACTCAAGGACAAAGTAATTACACTCTAACTTTAGTTCTGTAAATTGTTATTCCAACATCTTTAATAGCAGCTGCTGCAATTTAGTTTTAATAGTCAACATACCAGATGCTCTACTTTGCAACTGTCCTGTTAATGTGATTATTTTATGAAAAGCTAATGCAATAGATTATCACATTTAATTCATCATTACCCAAGAGCATGAAAACAAACAGTAGTTGATTTAAAAAAAAGAGGTCTTAAGTCTCTCTACTGACTACTGACAGTGGTTACTCTGCTCTCAACCACATCTCATGGGCTTCTTCAGTTGTCCTGGAAGTAGCTCAGTTGTCATGCTTTGGCCGTATGATTACAAATGGGGAAATTGCATTTGCCGAGACTGAGATGCTTTTGAAAACACTGAGGGGAAATCTTGAACTGTTAGTGCACCATGAGTGTTTTTAAGCAACTTAGCAATTTGTTGAAAAAATCTCTGCTAATGTCCACTGTAATGAAGTACTTGACATGAACAACCAGCACATCCCAATAACCATCATGACACTTGGTTAATACCATTTTCTGCCTCTCTTCACTCATCTGTTCAGGAGGAGCAAGGGATGGACCTCCAGAGTCTGACCATCAAGTCCTTGGAGCAGTTAAAATACACTGGCTGTGTCATTAAAGAGACTCTGAGAATCAACCCTCCTGTCCCTGGCGGCTTTAGAGTGGCCCTCAAGACTTTTGAACTCAATGTAAGCTCAAGATTTCTTTGAAGGTTGTTTATTTGGCTGTTTGGTGTTCAACAATCATGCAGTATAGGCATGTGTCCATACTAGTTGCTTACTCATTGTTTTATTCTTACCACATCAGGGTTACCAAATTCCCAAAGGCTGGAATGTTATCTACAGCATTTGTGACACCCATGATGTGGCAGAGATCTTTCCCAACAAGGAAGACTTCCAGCCAGAGCGCTTCATGACCAAACCTTCAGCTGACTCCTCCAGGTTCCAGTATGTCCCATTTGGAGGGGGCTCCAGAAGGAATTTGCCAAAGTCCTGCTGTAGATCTTCCTGGTGGAAGTGGTTACAAAGTGTCACTGGACTCTTTTAAATGGGCCACCCACCATGAAAACAGCACCTACTGTCTATCCTGTGGACAATCTGCCAACCAAGTTTAAGAGCTATGTACAACATTAAACTGAGATGACGAGGAGTCGTGTTTTCTAAAGCTGTGTGAAATTTGAGGATTCTCAAAAGTCTTGGCTCATGTGTGTTTTGTGTCCAAATCCACAGGGGTAACTGTAACCAAGGCACTTGGAGTTTTTGGAAGCACTCGGGTGTTCTTAGGAAACAGATCAAAGGTTGCACTTAACACAAGCAGAGAAAATATGTTCTTCTGGACTTGTCAATGTGGCCTTTTAACATGAACTGTACAGACTATAGATGATTTGAGAATGTATTTTATGTTTTGATGTTAATACTGTAGAATTGTGTGTATGTATTTACATATATGAACAAAATAAACAAGAGGCACTATACACAGACTTGGAAGACTAATTAGCTCAGAGGTGTATCCATATGTTTATATACAATATATAACCTCTATATTATCCCACTTTATTTAAGAGCCTTGTTTATATTGTATGGGCTTTTTATTTAATAAAAGGTGTGTTTGGTAAGCCTTGGGTGATTTCATGGATTTTTTTTTTCTAACAAAGCAGAGCATGCAATATAAAACAATGGGTGCAGGACATTTACATAAAGGGTATGCTGGTTTTAGTTTTACATATGGTTTGTGTGTTGGGGGTGGGTCAGTGTGTTTAACTGTTTAATCAGTAAGTTTACATGTGTATATGTAATTAAAGATATATATACATGTTTGAAGAGGGGTGGAGGGGAAAATAATCCTAAAACTAATGTATGCAAATGGTTACTGGACATGGCAAATAAAAAATGAGCCTGCATTTTTTCAGAATTCTGAGATTAAAGTACAAAGCAAATTGAGCATCTATTTACAGAATAATAAAAACATTGCAAAAAAGATAATTAGGGAAATAAAGTAAATGAGAAAAACTTAAGCCAGGCCAGTGACTAGCAGGCACTAGCTTAAATTGCATCCAACAGGACTGCATCTAACTGGTTTTCTACATCAGCAACATACTACTCTGGACAATTTGCCTTGATTTTCAGCTCAGAAACTGCTCAGGAGCTTTTGCAAGTGATGTTATGATCCTGGGAAAGTCTATGCCAGGATACTGGAGAGGAGAATTCGACCGATAGTCGAACCTCGAATTCAGGAGGAACAATGCGGTTTTCGTCCTGGCCGTGGAACACTGGACCAGCTACATACCCTCTTCAGGGTGGCGGAGGGTTCATGGGAGTTTGCCCAACCAGTCCACATGTGTTTCGTGGATCTGGAGAAGGCATTCGACCGTGTCCCTCGCAGCGGTTTGGGGACTACAGGATCTCGTCTCTGCTTTTTGCAGACGACGTTGTCCTGTTGGCCCCATCAAACCAGGACCTCCAGCGTGCACTGGGGCAGTTTGCAGCCGAGTGTGAAGCGGCTGGGATGAGAATCAGCACCTCCAAATCCGAGGCCATGGTTCTCAGTCGGAAAAGGGTGGCTTGTTCCCTTCAGGTTGGTGGAGCGTTCCTGCCTCAAGTGGAGGAGTTCAGGTATCTTGGGGTCTTGTTCACGAGTGAGGGAAGGATGGAACGGGAGATTGACAGGCGGATCGGTGCAGCTTCTACAGTAATGCGGTTGATGTACCAGTCCGTCGTGGTGAAGAAGGAGCTGAGCTGTAAGTTGAAGCTCTCGATTTACTGGCCAAAAGGGCAAGATCCCGGATACAGGCGGCCAAAATTAGCTCTCTGCGCAGGGTGGCCGGGCACACCCTTAGAAATAGGGTGAGGAGCTCGGTCACCCGGGACGAGCTCAGAGTAGAACCGCTGCTCCTCCACATCGAGAGGAGCCAGCTGAGGTGGCTCGGGCATCTGTTTCGGATGCCTCCTGGGCGCCTTCCTAGGGAGGTGTTCCGGGCATGTCCCACCAGGAGGAGGCCCCGAGGCTGGAGGGACTATGTCTTTTGGGCTGGCCTGGGAACGCCTTGGCATTCCCCCGGAGGAGCTGGAGGAAGTGTCTGGAGAGAGGAAAGTCTGGGCATCTTTGCTTAGACTGCTGCCCCCGCGACCCGGTTCTGGATAAGCAGAGGAAAATGGATAGACCCCCCACAGGGTGTCGCGAGGGACACGGTCGAATGCCTGAATTCGAGGTTCGACTCTTATGTGGACTGGTTGGGCAAACTCCCATGAACCCTCCACCACCCTGAAGAGGGT